GGTACAAGGACAGAAAATCATGATAGAAAGAAAAAATCAAAAAAAAAAAAAAAAAAAAAAAAAAAAAAAAAAAAAACAAAGCGCCATGCTACCCATGCAAGCAAAAGCAAGCCGTCATGAAGTATACTGGTAAATATGGCCCTCACGCCCTACTTCAGCTGCTTGGGGGATTCCTTTGATTTCACCCCCGTCATCCATAGGACGGAATGAGACTTTGCCGGAGTACTTCGACAACAAACTGCCTCTCTTCGGGGCTGGAGTCAGGTCCAGCATCCCCGCCTCCAGGTGCCGGTTATCGGAATGCAGCACTTCAGGCCCCGTGAGATGACGCCGGGCTACATCTGCAGCTTTCTGAAGGTTCTCGCGTTTGCGCTGGAGCTCCGCTGCCTCCTTTCCACTTGCTTCAGAGCTACTCTGAGACAGCTCCTCGACGACATCGGATAAGCGGGTGAAGTACTGCCACCGAGAAGCCTGGAAGACAAACATAGACATGATCTCCGGGATCTACCATCAAATTGACATCAGTAATTGTTTCTGACGAGCCGAATGAAGAGCAGAGTAGGTCAGAGAAAGAGGGGGGGGGGGAAAGCTTACCTTGCCGTCCAAATAAAAGAGCTCGTCCCCACCCTCCTGCATGAACTGCTCCAGAGCGTCCATCTTCTCCCGATCGACTCTGGCCACCCGCAATGCATGCATCAAGGTCGGGATATTAGCGATTTCCTCCACTGGCACCTCCTCTACTTTCGTAGTCGCGCGACTGAGATACCCGGACGTGGCGCGCGACAGGCCATCCGTGCTCGGCGCCCTCGTCTTCGCCTTCCCCGAGTGGATCGTGAAATAATCCTCGTTAAGCATGTGCGCCACCTCCAGACCCGAGCGGCCCCGACGACTGCGCTCCGACACGCGCTTCACTCGGAGTCGGACCCATCGGCGACGGCGCACGTATGAATGATACCAGGGATGCGACCCATGCCAGGCCGACGAGCCGAACGAGAAGGAGTACTGCCAGCCCTGATCATCCACATCCCCGGACATGTCCACGTACCAGGTCCTCCAGACCCACTCCCAGCTGGGGTCCGGGAGCTGCGCTTTCGTGATGTCGACGGCGCTGTTTCGACCGTCGGGCGTCGTCCATGCTGCCGGGTCAAAGTTGAGCAGCGAGCTGTGCGAATAGAGGGGGATGCCGAAGAAGAACCAACCCCGTTGGTTCTCGTGCAGGATGTCCAGCTCGGTGCCGGGTTTCAGCCCCGATAGCTCGGGGTGGTTGTGGCCGTCATGTTCGTGATCTCGGGCGCCCTGCTGGTCGACGTCCGACGAGTCGACATTGTGCTGGTCCTCCGGAGAGCTCTGCGACGACGAGGGGCCCGCCGCCAAGCGACTCTCCCCTGCCAGTGTGTCCGTTCGCGTCTCGGTCGTGAACAGGTCGCGCCCTTCGGACAGTCTGCGGTCGGAATTGTCCTCATCGTCGGTAAGACCCAGACGGTCCGGCTGCCATTTGGCATACTTGCGCTTGGCGAGCTCGCTTCGTATAGATGCCCGGGTGAACTTCCTCGAGATATTCCGGGAGAGGTCTGTTGTTGCGGTGTGCGATTGCGCCAGCGCATCGTCCGACGGACGACGGGGAGCGGTTTTGTCGACAAGACTGATCTTGATGTTGCTTTCCATTGTTGTTGGGATATCTTCGAAGTGTACTAGCTCAGGTAATCACGGCCCAGCAGTGATCTCATCGCAGCAGCAAGACAACTTGTACCTGAACTGAAAAAAAAAAAACAAAAAGGCAAATGTTGTAGGTGGAGCTGAAGTTTACTGTGCGCAGCAGGGGTGATCGGCAGTCGAACCCCCTCTCCCCAGGACCGAATATAGGATTGCAATCTAGGAATAAGGATGAAGGGAATAATAAAATTGATGTTATCATATAAGGCCAGGGGGGAACCCAAGAGTGAATTGCAGGATGATCGGCCACCACATCACGGAGAGATAGGAGTAGTTCATGCGTGGTAGTTAGTGTTTTAAGTGAAACCCCAAGCCCAGTTCCTCAGTTCCTCACTTGATCGATGACATCGTTGTGGGGGCGCGCCGATCGGCACTAAAGAACTGTGGTGGCTGCCTGGTCAGCGCCTGAGGCATGACTGCCTTTTTTACCGTGCCTAAGGCACCAACTGGGGGGGGGGGGTAACACTATCTATCTCTCCGTACCGCGGGTGTATCTCCGAACCATCATCTTCTCCAGATAAAACAAACAATCAATAAACCCCAAAACCAAAAGCCAACCCCTCCTCACTCAAACACCACCCCTCCCCCCCAAAAATTACATAGGACCATCCAGCCCTCTCCACCCCAATCCCCTCCCCTCATACCCATTTCCACACGAAAAGAACATGAGCGACTCGCACCACCGCAAAATCGAACTCCAATCCCCAGCCGACCTAACCTACCTCTACGGCAACACCGTCGCGCTCTCGCGCCAAAAGCTCGACCTCCACCTACCTCCCTCCGCCAATCCCAACGATGGACCGGATCCGATGCGCGAACGTGTCCGCGAATTAGTTGACGAGGTTAGCCTCTCCCCCCAAAA